GCCTAGCACAACTCAGAACAAAAAGATCTCGGTTGGAACAAGAAAGGAAGCATGTGTTTACTCTTGACGTCGAGTACTGACAAATCGATTTTTTTACGAATTTTCGGAGAACGGATGATCTTATGAGTCTCATATTCTAGAACTATAATTCTTAAGCCTAGCACAACTCAGAACAAAAAGATCTTGGTTGGAACAAGAAAGATAGTATAAGTTTACTCGGTCCGATAGACTGTTTGTCAAAAAACTTTTTTTTTAATTTCGGGCTTATAATTAAACTTATTGATTTGTGCTTTTGGAACAATGTTTGGAACAACTAGAACAATCTATTGCGGTATCAGAATGTTCGATTTTCGAAAAGTGGGGTGCCAGCTCAAAAAATCATTTTTTTTTTGTTTTATTCGAAAACCGTTTCGAATGAAGTAATATCACTTTGGAACAATGTGGTACAAATTCAGAACAATCTGGAACAACTTTAAAATTATAAATTTCAAAAAGTGGGGTGCCAACTTCATACACTCTTAGAAGTCGGACCAAAAATAATCGTGTCTGCGTATGGTAGAAATGGAACTAAAGGAATTGCTCTAATTCTTAGTACAACACGAAGAAAATGTTATAGTAAAGTTATAGTATGTTATAGTAGTTAGTGTAGAATTCTGTAACCGAAAAATGGATCGATATTCTGTAATAATTGACTATCCTTTCATGTTTCATACGTGATATTTATATTTTAGGAACTGAAATGTGTTATTAAAAAATTGCCATGTTTCTTATGAAACTTACTATCCTTAACGAGATAGATCTTACTAATAGTTTATTTCTACACTACTAGAAACACAGTAAAATGGACAAAAAGAATTTATATGAAAAATAACTATAATATATTTTCTCTGTGTGCAAAAGTGTAAATTCAAAGGGGAGTAACCAGATCTTCTTAGAGCTAAGAATTGAAGACGACAATCCGTTGGAAAATGTCATAATAATCATTTTATTTAGACAGAGAGTAAGTCATTATTGTTCTAACTGTTCCAACATAGAAGATTAACTTAAGATTGACTTCTACTAACAAAGATATCGAGGCGCTTCATTAATTTCCTATTCGAGTGGAATGAATTGAAGCGAGCTTTTGAGCCTGCCGATTGATCGCCTCTTGCAGTAAAGTTGAAGTGGAAGTCAGAAGCTGGGTGCTTTCGCCGCGTTCTCGCGAACGTCGCAGTGTCGATATCTTACAGGCTAACGACGAACTTCGTCCTACCTTACCAAGTATGCGAAAAACATTGGCGGTCGCATATAGTAGCGACCTAATATTATCTACACTAGAAATGGACGACCTGGAAAGAGGGAAATGAGGTTCAACAAAACAATAATTTATCATAATCAGTTGTATCTTACGTTTTATTTTAAAAGGTACAAAATAATGGAATTACTTGTGAAAGATATTCTCACACTTATTTAATACCTAATGATTATTCTTTATAATATACTTGATGATACAGAAATCTGCCAAAGAGGAAAAAAAGAGATTTAATGGCAATATTTTATTTTTATTTTTTGCTAATATGACTAAAGGGGCTTTTATTTTTAAATAGCATGATAATGAATCAGGTGAGTCCTTTTCCTATATTCCAGTCGAGCAATTGGATAAAAGATTGGTTATATTTTAGACTTTATCAACTTGTTTGATATTTACCAAACCAAGAATTACATTACTGAATATTTAAAATTCAAGTAGAGGACAGGTTTCAAGGCGATTTGAATGAAATATGTACGTAATATATATGCAAGAATCATATAATCAGTAATATGTTCAGCAATAAAATTTAGTAATATCAAATTCCAGAATTTGACATTGAGATTAATTGGAATTTAAAATATTGAGAAGATAAACTCTGAACCAGATTTCACTCACCTCACTTTATTAATTTCATCAAGGCTCCTGGTCCTTCGCCGCGGAATTCTAGATTGATGACATCAGAAACGAGAAAATGCATACTTAAAATGTTTGCGTGCCACTTCCAAATAAAAATATATTTGTTTGAAAAATTTGCTTCAAAATGCTTGAGCATGCTTGTAAAATGCTCCAAAAACTATCCTTTTTTTTAAGTCAATGAAATTAAGGTGACATGCAATCTTTCTTTTTAAGCTACCTTCTTCCATAATTTTCTTACACACACATATATGTAATAGTTTAAAAGAAATTTTATAATACTTAAACATTAAGTAGTGAGAGAGAATGGAATATTCCTAACTAAATCCTACTTACACAATATCTCTATTAAGAAATAGTCATACGCAATAGATCGACGTTGCGAGCGAATAGCTCGATGGAATTGAAATTGCTTTCGGTCTTGGAATTGCTGTATCGATTCGTGGAAAGCGGATATTCATTGTCCTCATCGGCATGGTCATCCGCGTGGTAAAGCGTCGCATAAGAATTACACCTTACGTTACACGCAATCACGTGTTGCATAAAGATAACGAGTGTGACATGCGATCAATGGGATAGACAATAAACTCTCTAGTTACGGCTATCACTCAATTGCGACGGAATCCTGTCCTCTTTGTTTGTCATTGTCTGGAATGTAAATTCCGGAACACTGTCCCTGCATACTTTCACTACGATATAAGAGCGTTACAGTCTTATGGCGTTTCGTTCATAACATATCGTCATTTTCGGTAGACAGATCAATATTAAAAGACCGATTATCCGAAAATCAGTCGAGGTAAAAGCTTCTATTCGAAATTTAACAAGAGAGAAAGATTTGATTTCTGAAAAGCAAGAAATATTTATTAAATTTGGCTCGAGATTCGATTATTTGAGATTGTCATCGATCTAGACATGGATTATTATTTGTAGAGACATTATTAAAGTCAAAGTATAATTAGAGGGACAATTAATAATACAATCAACGTTAATATCTTCACATCACAGTATTCTCACGAACAAAGTATCAGCTGTCAGACAGGAAAAGTGGTAAACTTCACTATGTTGCGTTGCAATTCCGCATCGCCCTTATTACTGCTACGCTAAATGTCAAGAAGTTCTCTTGTATGATCGGGAAAGTTCTGGGTTAACCTGACGATTCGTATAATTATATAACCGATGCTCACCGCGTGCACAATCGTGCATCACAAAATGTAAAATTACTAGGATATTGTACATTGTATTTTCCAAATCTATCCAGATAGCACAAAATCTTCAGAGAATGTTCTTGGACGTTCTTAGGATGTATGAATGTCTTTAGAACGTCTTTAGAACATTCTTTGAAGATTTATGCTGTATGAATATAATATCACGGTGAAGATATCCACTTAACTGGTCAAATCTGTTGATATATAAGTAAAAGTCTGATGTGTAACTTGTATATTAAAGAAGAAAAACTTTTCATTGCGTGTAATAAATAAATATTAAATAAATATTTATATTAGAAAAATATATAAGCAAAAGAAATAAAAGTTATATAATTGGTTAAATATCGGTTATATTAATTATACTGAAAAAATTAATGTTTAATACTTGTAATTCTAAACAAATTTTTAAAAAATTATGATCAAGAAAACTATTTTTTCATTAAATTCTACCGTTAATGATAATAATCTTATATGCATATTACTCATTATTTTATTATAAAAAATGTGCGTGGAATAAAAATAATTTTAATTTGATAAACTATTTTTTTCTCTTAGTGCAAATATCTAATATAAACAGAATTCTGGGGTTGAAATTATAGATATTTGGTTAATCCAACCAAATTTGTAAAAATGAGTTCTCGCGTGACAATCTTCAGCACACACACAATATTATTCTTTATATATAATAATTCCCTATAGTAAAATTTTTTTGAGAACTATATTATTCCGTAGCAGGAAACATCGTATTTAATTGTCGAATCAATAAATATCAATAAAAAAATTTCACAGATATTACGTAGTAATAAAAACAGTATTACCTGCATCGGATGCTTAGCGCCACGCATTGAAGTCTCCAGCATTGAAGTCTCCAGCGCGGCGTTGAAATCTCCCGCGTGGGAGTCTCCGCTACCGAAGACTCTCCAGCGAAAAATATATTCTACGGGCGCCTTTGGAACGAAAATACAAGTGTCTCACTCTGCGAAATCGTGTTTCTGAAAATCAAGGGCGCATTGCGTGGTCAAGGGCTCCTTCTCATTGACGTCGCGTGGAGGTTGCATGTCTGCCAGTCATTTCAGCAATAGCGAGGTGGAATTACTTATCGTCGATCACAATATGCATTTTACAAGATAATATACAATTTGTCGGTTGAGTTTCTCCGGGCGAAGAAATAATAATACCAAATTATTATAACACAATGCAGCCTCACTTTTAATTGATTATTGTAATAACTATTTTGCAAGATAATATATACAATTTCTCGGTTGAGTTTCTCTACAGGCGAGGAAATAATAATACTAAATTATTATAACAATGCAACCTCAATGCAGCAGTCGGTTATTATAATAATTATTAATATTAATAACCGCAAAATATTAGAGGTTCAGGCGTTCATTAAGAAATAATTTCTATTTAGAGATACGAATTAATTGAAAATAATTTGTTATATAGCTTTAGAATAGATTCAGAGTAGAAATGAACTTTCTGAACTATCCGTATTTGAAAGTTGAAAGTAGCCGGTGATACACTCATAAATTATTCTGCATAATAATTTTCACCTACGCGTACAAATACCATGAGAATGCCGGCCTTTATCATAACAAACACCATTATTATCGCCAATTCATCATTGCTACCGGTATTTGCGCGTTATACGACAAACTGTGTAAAACAATTGAGCGCAATTACGTCATATATTGTGAATGAAAATTGGGAGAGTGTAAGAAACGCAATAGAAATTTTCAATCTCTTTGTATGGCGAATCCGTGCATTCAGATCGGCGTTCAGGTTGAGGCGGAGGTCGGGCCCATGGGCGGGCCCCGCCGCTCCCGAAGGGGACCTATATAAGCAGACCCGCGCAGCGTAAAACGCGATCCTTTAACACAATCACTTCTGCCTCATCAACAACCAGACATGCGTCCTCCCGTGAGTATCGTCGCTCCTGCTGCTTCTTCTTTTCCCACAATTTCGCTCGTTCGTGACAGTAAACGCTGACACAATTAAAATTACGTGATTCTTAAAGAGAAACTTGTGATTTTAGTTATGTGTAATAATTAAAATACATAGAAACATTTCCACGCTGTGCTTGGTGTACCAATCGGTAAGAGATTTTAAGAATTGCAAACGTTATAAAATAATCGTGTTTAATCGCTTTCTTTTCTCTGTGCGGAAAAGAAAGTATAGTTGGTCCATACATCATTCAGTATTGAATCTGATTGGCCAGATTCTCTGCCAAACATTGTTTCTTCCGTGTACCAGAGAACACTTGAGCAATTTGTGATCAATTGGTTATTTACAAAGCGGAGTTTGCGTTTTATTGCGAAAGGACGAGTTGACGCGTCGATGAGTGCAAAGATTTCACGTTCCTTATTCGTTAGAAAAACAGAAGCATGCAGAACATTACTTCTCAATAGTAGCAGGAGAGCATCGTCCTCGTGCCATTCCAACCATCGGCTTTTCTCCGATGCGCGTACATGAAAATGATTCAAGTGCCAAAGTTCTTATGCAAATTCGTGTCACCAGGTGCTGTTACTTCTGTTTTGCGTGGGTCTTGCGGTCGCCCAGCACAATCAACCGTATCCTGTGACGACACCGGTACCTATCTTAAAACAGATAAACAAGTGAGTATTACATTGATTTTACGTAACCGTATGAAAGCGTCATCGCACTTGACGCAACTTGACGCAACAATTATAGTGGGCAGCAAGAAGATTGCAGCATGTTTCTATCCAATGTGTATCTTGGAAAGAAGATGCGGACAATCGCTGAATTTTCACCCGCTATGAAATTCATAAAATTAAAAAGTGTTGCATTATTTTTTTAGATTAACTGTATATCTTCAAATATCTTTACGTTGCAATAATTATATTACCACAAAAATTATAATATGGCGTTGTTGATCGATACTAACGTTAGAAATATTTAAAAAATAGCAAATAATGCGGCGATGTAATTTTCAAACACTAAACTACGTAAAAAATACCGTTGATGTTTCTAATATATGTTTCTAATACAATTAACGCAAATTTTAATATTTACTTCTTGGGTTACTACGTGTTATTTTTATTTAATTTTTTTACTTCGTGATATTATTTTTACATAACTCAGGCTTTTATTATTATTATTCTGACTTGTTATTATTCTATTATAATAAAATGCGAAATTTATTTTCTGACAGGCATAACGAGGACGGCAGTTACAGTTACGGCTTTGAGGCCGCGGACGGTTCGTACAAGATCGAGTCCAAGTACCCGACAGGCGAGGTTTACGGCAAATACGGTTTCGTGGACGATACTGGGAACGTACGTGAGATCGAGTACGGCGCATCCAGGCGCGGCTTCGAGCCGGTCGGTCCTGGGATAAACGTGCCCCCGCCGACCTTGACCGGCAACAGCATCGCCGGCGCGAACGAGCCCGATGACGACGGCCAGTACCGCGAGGATCCGGCGATATATCACACCGATCCGCGTTTTACCAACGGGGAACGCTACGATCTCGTGCCCAAGTACAGACAACAACAACCGATCGCCTACAACAACCAGCCTCAGCAGTTCCCGTCGGCGTCGCCAGCTTACAGCCAACCGACGAGGTGCAATGTCGTAATGAATTTTGACGCACAATCGACTCGATCTTAATTTCAACGCGAGAGCCTTCGTCGAATTCCAGCTGAACCTTCGATTCCGCAATGTTGCGATCGATATTTAACAATTTCAAGTGCAGATCAAGTCAAACGGAAAGATTTAATTGTGCACGGAAAAGGCAATCCCGTTAGTGCAGCTGCATTTTCTGTCACTTGGAAATTAATTCAGTTGTAGCAACAGAAAGATTCCACTTGACGGAGTAACCGACACATTATTTCTCGAGTTTCTCGCATGGTCCCCATTTTTTTTCGGCGTATGTTTTGACACGGAAAAAACAATTCCATTAGTGCAACTAAATTTTCTATTATTTAGGGACCAAATGAAAAACTCAATCGTAAGAACAGATAGATTCCTGCAGGAGGTTTCTACTCAGCCAATTGCTCTCAGTTACCTCAACCGATTTTTTATATAACTGGATGTCCAGAATGTTTTCGATCGCAGTAACCAAGATATTATTTCTCGTCTGGTCCCCATTCAGTTACACTGAAATTTGTTCTGCGAGAATACTACCAAAAATTCGACAATATGAAACCACCCAGTTTACGCGTTTGAGCCCTTCAATTTCTCTCGATGGTTTGCCGAGTTTGCCAATTCTCGCTCGTTTCGTCGTCGCTATCTCGACTGGACCATCAGATCTCATCAGATTAACGCGCGGGAAGCTCACGTAAACAGGCGGAGAGCGCAATGAGATAACGAGCGTGCTAAATGTCAAGTGAATCACTGGAAAGTACCAAGCTCGTGACTTGCTCAACTGGCCGGGAAATCGGTCGCGCCTCCACGTCTCACCGGGAACGGAATTGACTCGATTGACCCAATTTTTCGTCTTTTCAGGTATAACGCGCCTGTCAATTACCGGCCAACAGCCGTAAACCCGCGATTCCAGCCGGAATATCAGCCGCAGTATCGATCGCAGCATCAAGGTCAACAGCTACGATCCGTGTATCCTTCGCCCGAGATTCCAGTTGGTTCCCAAGGACACGCCGCAACCAATATCGACGTCAACGCCGGTTTGGCATCTTATACGGTTAATTATAAATGATAAAAAAAAGGAACAAAGAGAGAAAGAGAGAGAGAACGTGTGTACATATGGCATTATTTATAAATATTCCGAGTCGTTGTTGTAAATCCTCATTTAAGTGTCGCACTTAAAAGTGTCGCAAATAAGCGTCACCGTCGAGATATTTCGACGGGGGTTGGGTTGTCACGATAAGCATTTATTTAGCATTAATTGAAACGACAACAATACGTATTTACGGTTATTTTAGACGTATGTACTTTACATCAAAGGCTTGTCTTTTATTTTCACGAGTTCCTAGTGGAACAAAACTTTCTACTTCCTGTTCTCCGACTTGTTTCCTCTACCTCTTCCGCGTCGGGAGCTTCTACCTTTCTTGTCGAGAAATTGTACGTGTATCACTACTTCTATGATTCATTTTGTTTCCACTTTCTTCACTCGCTTAATGTCTCAGCTACGTTTCTTCATCGCAGAAGCATAGCAGATGCTTCCCGTCTCCACTCACGATCACGCGTATCAACATATAGAATTAACTTGTGTGTCGTTTGCGTTCGTGAAGAGCCTTCGACGTGTTCGCGCATGTTGCACTTGACAAGTAACTTGTCCTACACTTGAAAGAGAGATTCCATCTACATTCTTAAACGCACTACATCTCATTTGATACGCGAATGTATCAAGTACACAATGTTGCGCGAGACGATCTACTAAGTAAGTGGGATGTAAGTGTGAGATCAATGACGCTCTGGACGATTCGATAAAACACGATTGAACGACTCGGATCGACCTTGTAACGATGCGGAGCCGCACAGGGCCGACAACCTGTCTGATGTAAAGTAATACTTGGCGACAAATTCCATTTGCACGTGCCAGATGCATGCACTATTAATGAAAGTCCTTAGGTGCCTACTTGTGATGTGGCTGAAAACGCAAGTAACATTTTTTCTCGCATATAAAGAGCGCCGTCGGACTGTTCTCGACACACCCAAGAATTTCACCCGCACTCTTATCGTTATATAACACCTGCAAGCACGTATAGATACTACCTTCGCACTCAGCCTTTTACGAGAACAAAATACAAATTTACACGTGACGTGTCGAATCGATACATATCGCATCTTGTCGATATTTTCCAATGCGTCAGTTTCTGTCTTGGTATTCACGTTCGTCGCAATAAGGTACAAGGTACATGTTAATTTTTTCATTTCTCCTATCGGAGGAATAATGTTGCTTTGAAACTGAAACTCCCGCGAGTTTAATCTGTTCTATTGTCTATGTGTATATGTGTATGCGTGTAATGGAAATTGTGTTTACAGAATTTATCATTACGGAACTTTCTGACACGTTCAACACACTTTGCAATTACATCAAATATGCTTCAAAATATTAAATGATTTAAAATAATACGTACAAATGAAACTTTACATATGATATAAAAGGAATTAAATATCGAATAAAAATCACTGTATAATACGCATCGTCCCTGATTTCTTGACTACAGTATTAACTCAGACGACAACTGTATTTCACACATTTTGTGTGGGTATAACAGGAAATATCGGCTATCCTATCGCCTTCACGTTTTAGCTTCTGGTCCTATCTTAAACTGCACGCATAGAGGTTACACGTTGCGCATACCTGACACGTGGAGAGTGCCACGGATCACCGCCCAAGTCCACCTTTCACGATATAATCCACGATCTACCCGATCCCGCTGCGCGATTGGCGTCGCTGTCCAATCGAGCTCAGACACATGAATCGAAGTATCCGTTTTCCGAGTAAAAGTTCGAGGTAGCTGCTTTTGCTTTCGGTTCTCCTAATTCTTTTCTTAAAACAGCATGATTATTAAAGAGATTATTCCACACATTACATAAATACGTTTGGAAATGACACACTTGCAGGTTATAAATTTATAAGTAAATAATTCATGTAAGTCTAAATAATTATTACATAAAATCACGCACGTATTATTTACAGTTAAAAAAATATATACGCGGAGAAAATTTTATAGTAAAAATTACTATAATTATAGCATTTGTAATTTAAAGAACACAGATCACGATATTCTGCAATAACTGACTGTGCTTTCATCCCATATGTTTTATTTATATTTTAGGAACTGTGTAAAATGTGCTGTTGTTACAAAATTTACTATGCTTTCAACAAAATTTACTATGTTTCTAATAAAATTTGTTATGTTCCTTATCAAAATAGATCTTATCGATACTTTATTTTTACATTTCTATATAAAAAAAAATTTTTATAGTTAAAATTACATCGTATCTATTTCTTTTATTATATACTATACTTTTATTATATACTGTATTTTGTAAAATTCGTCTACATAATTATGAAATTGTAATATAAATTACTATAAAAATAGTTTATAAATTTATAAGTTTATAAATAAATTACTATAAAAATAATTTATAAATAATTTATAAATATATTTTGGCGATTTATTTCTTAATACGATAATTAAGTTAATGAGTATTAAGTCTTAATACAATATAAGAAACATTTTAGCAATTACAATAATTTGGTAGAAAGAAAGTCAAATGTATGTTTTCAAATAAATATGTAGCAGTTTTGGCCATAACTTTTTTTATGGATCAAGAGTACAAAAATGTTGTTGCCATTTTTATTACAATATTTTCTTCATGTAGAGAAACATAGTAATGTTAAAAAAAATTTATATTCTCTCTATATATATTTCGTCTACATCACATTTTATATCACCTGTAAATAATAAACATACTGTATTGAAAGTGCGTAGAAAGTTGACACATATTTCGTAATAACGTTTGATTGAGGAACAATTCTTGGAAAAATGTAGAGGTTATACGCACAATGACTTGTTGTCTCTTATAACAACCGAGTTTTCATTTCCCTGTCTTCGATATACACTTTATCGCGGGTCGAATGCGTGCACGCAGTTTCGCGATTCCGCGTTCACTCTCGAGACATTCTGATGCAAGGCGTGGTGCGACGGTCTGGTGCGCCAGATGTTGGCAGAACTTGCTTTCCTTTGCCGACATAATGAACACGTATAACTTTCCTCTTTTTGTCGTGGCCACGTAATTATAAAACGACTCGATTTGCTAAGTTACTCGAACAGTATTTGCATTTCTCATTAAGGCATAATGAAATGTTAAAATAATGAAATATTTAAAAATTTCACAAATTTTCGTTCCAATTCCTTACTTTTTTTTTTAACACGTCGGCCAACCTCTTAATTCGGCGAATTCTCTCCGCAGACCATCACACTTGTTTCCGTGTAATTGTGTAAAACAGACTTGGTTAATTTATATGCGAATATATCAAGCAAAAATATCGTTATCCTGCACATGTGTCGTTGATAGCGAACATGTTGAGTAAAATTGAAAGTTTTGAGTAAAAATGAACTTGAAACGAGAGATTGGCGCGTCACACATACGTGACGCGAATTTTAATGTTAATTCCTACTGCAGAATATCCGATTAAACTTAATCGGATCATAATGACACTTCACCAGATAAACCGATCAGAAAATTATGAACTGATATTTCTCATCGGATGTTTCCTAATGGGATACAAAAGTTTATCGGTATTTTAATCAGAAATAATCCGTTTGTTAATTCTTTATCGTATAATTTCTCTCAGTGATGCGTACGGACGATATCTACATGCATCTTGCCTATTTCTCACTCGTATACAGTTGCATGGGATTTGTGATGCACTTCATTAATGTGGGAAACTTTATGTTTCCTTTATGAAAAGTTCACTCTCTTAATGACTCGTGAATTATCATTAACATCCAGCTGTGCAGAACCAATTCGCTTATTTGTCGTATCATTTTCGCTTCTTAATAAGGAACAATATAGTAGCTTGATGAAGAACTATTGATGCAGACTGATGCACAATGAAGAACAACATATTGATGCACACACTAAGAAAATTGTTCTAGCATTTGGAATTAAAATATTTGGTACATATAATTTGGTTGCCATTACATATTATTTACTTGTGTCAAATACACGCATTATTGAGGAAGCAAAATTCACAAGCGGCAATTAAATTTTCTGGTTGCGATTATCAAACATTTGGTCCGTCCTATCTTAACCAAATTATAGTCCAGTGTACCAAATTTCCGTTTTAACACTGACAAAATTCTTCTTTCAGTCTGGCGCGCAGACGATCTCCGCAACTTCCATTTATTTTTTCGACATTCAAGTAACAGCATTGAGAGCTGTTTCAGCGTGAGAGGATAATTTGTTGAAGAAATTATTTGAGGAATAATTTCCGTTTATATCGTTTTTGAACTTTTGACATTAAACGTATATCTTATGACATAAAAAGCCGAATAAGATAAGCGAATTTATACGTAATTGTAGCCGGTCCCTTTTTGGACACGCGCACGTGCCGCGACAGTAGTAGAACGACTTTTACGTTTCAGACGGCCCAAGAGCGCTAATCACATCACCTTCTCTTATAGCAAGTACTAACCGCACTGTCGAGTTTTTGCAAGCCGGAATTCCAGTTTTCGCGTGACCGATGTGATCGAGCATTTGTCGTTAGGCACGGGCAATCGTTTCTGATTGTTGCACAAAAATTAGAAAGCGACGTAAAATTAATCGGACGCTGAGAAAAAAATACTTGAGAAAACTTATCTGTGGAATATAAAATTCATCTCTGAAAAGTTGATTTTTGTGAAATAACCTTTAATAACGTATACTTCTGTGAAGAAAGGAACTTTATATCTCATGGATAAATTTTTAAATAGCTTTTTGTCAGTGGAGAAAGTGAACGGGAGAATCGGATGTCGTCGGAAGAACGCGAATCTCGTGACTCGCAAAAATCGTCGTTGACCAGTTCAGCTCGTCGTCGGACCGTCAAACGTAGCTCTCAAACGCGTTCCCGACAATTTGTCTGGTATCTTATATCGCTGAGTCGTTCGCTGCAAGAGCGTCGATCGGCTTTTGTTACGAATCATTGCAGCAACGCTCGCGATAGTTACATAAGAAAAATGGACGGCCAGTGCAATGAGAGAGATGCGGGAGAAAAAGCGCCGCCGTAGACGTAGCATTGCCGGATCGTCCTACGATCGCGTATCGAGGGACTAATTTGACCCAAGATGATCTATATTAGTAAATGTCAGGGCTGGTGGTGCCGCGACTTGTGAAAGGCGAGGCTCTCGATTGTCGTAGTTCGGTAGACCTTGCATGCCTTGTAGCAATTGTGGAGAAGTATCCTGCGTGTTTTCACATGGTTGTGGATACTACTTCTCGCATTGACCGATAAAACTTTACGATAAATCCACCCATTTGATCTCTCATGAAGCATTGTTGCGAGATTATTACACATGAGAAAAGATTTGGCTAAATTAACTAAATATCTGGTGGAATATGAACGAAAACCAGAACTCCGATTGAAGTTACCAAAAGTCTGTTCGAACTAACAACACTTCTGGCTAACCGAACAAAATTTCTAGCTAACCAGAAGTCTTACTCGTATTTGTGCAAATACTTGGTTAATGCAATCAAATTTTTTTTCGTGTACGAAGCAATAGCATGAGTAAATTTACATCAAACGATAATTTAACAATTGTTATTATGTTTCGACTAGAAAACTGATTGTAAAGAAATTTACATTGCCGTTGTACGCTGTCTTTAACCGAACTTGTAATTCTTTAAATTGTTCTTATATTTATACACGGAGAAAACATTGTAGTAAAAATTATATTATTTTTTATAATGATTTTGGTAAAACTGGTTTGTATGGGGATTGTATAAATTATCATAGATATAGTAAATTTGACGGTCCATTTTGTATACGACATAAAAAAAAAGAATTCAAATAATTTTTTAATAATTTTGTAATAAAAAGTTTTCTTCAAGTTTTAAGGTTACAGTTGAAAGTGAGCAAACGGCAAAGCTTTTACTTTTATTCTTGTTGTACTTCTTTTGTATTCTGCTTGTAACACCAAGCAGATTGTTATCCCGTTAATGGATAAAGAATAAAAAATACAGAAAAAGTTAAATGTACATATAACATCTTTAAACAAATATATATTATAGTAATTTCTGTCACAATTCTGTATAGTCCAAGATTAAGAAAATTTTGTTGCAATTTTTACTACAATATTTTCTTGGCGTATTTCAATAACTAATTTTCCAAATATCTAATATCCCGCTGCTTTCTCCAATCTAAGAATTATCAATTAGTATTAATAAGCGTCGTTTGATAATCGCTGATTTATTCGATAAGGTCTTGCGAAGAATGAAATATTGTTGCAAAATAGTATAATTGGAGAAATCAAATCGTTCAGCATAATAAAAGACCGAGTGACTGGACTAATTGGTTTATTAAAAGATTAACGATATTACGTCTTTCTTTTGGTAGTCGCACGAAATTAATCGATCTTTAGCTTCCTTTCACCGAGTGGCATTGGAGCTGGCCGGATCATCGGCCAAATAAAACCTGTGAATGCAAGCATAATCTGGGTCGTTCGCGAGCAATTATCACGGGCCTTAATCATGGGATACACGCCCCGTGGAAGTCATCGTTAAACCACACCAACGTAATCGCCTCGAGGACCTTGAGGACGCGGTTGCGTCACAAATATGAGCATAATAAAGGTCTTTTCTTTCTTGCCTTTCCCTCGTTTTGAACTTTGTTTGTTTACGATGAGATACATAGATAACATTACAGCATAATTATCATGTAAACTATAAACTATACGGAAAAGATATTCTAATTAAAATTCTAGAAAAAATTACATCAAAATTATATTTCTTCTCACAATAGTTTCCGCAAAGCTGGACTATATATAATTATAATATAAATTGTAGTATAAATTACTGTATAATTATTATAATATAGTTACTATAATATAGTGTGTGTACATAGTATATATATATATATATATATATATATATATATATATATATATATATATATATATATATATATATATATAT